CTGCCGGCTCCTGAAGATGCCTCCTCCAGCCGTCTTGTCCCCTCCTGCCCCAGGCTGCCCACTCTGAGGAAGTGGTTTGCGTCCGTGGACACGGCACCAGACTATTGAAAATCCCCGGGGAAGATCCGGATCTGGCGCCCGGCTCAGAGAAAGTCCCTCTCCGTGTCTGCCCTGAGTGCTTCTTGCTGCTAAGACCAGAGTCCTCTGGCCCCACCCTCAAGAGCCAGAGCAAAGCCAAGAGGGCCCTTGATCCCACCCATCAGCAGGGTGGGGGCTTGAGGACCACCCCCAGGCCTGAGCCCTAAACAGCATCACCTCCTGGGGCCGGAGGAGACGAGGGCTCTCAGCAGGGGCATGGCCCACCCGGCCCCTCCGTCACACTGGGGCTGGGGTGCCTGATGCTGGGGTCGGGGGGCAGGTCCCAGATCTCCCGAGAGCAAAGCAGAACCCCCACCTGGCGGGGGGAGCCCACCTCTCTCCTCTCTCAAGGCCCCTCCCTCCGCAGCATTCCTGCTCCGAACCTGACAGAGACCCAAGAAGACACTGAGCTGGCCCTGGATCCCAGAGGCGTGGGCAGCCCTGGAGCATTGTAGAGCAGGCAGGTTTCCAGGTCGGATGTTCGCCAGGCAAGGACTGCAGCCTCCAGCCTGACCCAGCGGGCCGTCCAAGGAGGGCGGACGGGGAGACGGGGTGGGGTCAGCAGCTTCTGCTGACATGCCCTCTGTGATGGGAAGCTCACCCCTTTTCAAGAGTTGTTTCCGGCTTTAGGCTCCTCCCCTAGACTGACAGAAAACCAGCGGTGTCCCGGGCCCTTGCCCTGAGCCCCCGGGCCCCTCCAGAGCTGGGCTGTCTGAGATCAGGGGACACCATTGGGGTCCTGCATAGCTGAGTCTGCTCACAGAACACACCCCCCCAAGTGGCCTCAGACAGTTCCCCTCATCTGAGCCTCTCTGGTGTGGACATCTCCTGAGGATGTGCCTGCCCTGAACTTCCCTGTGTGACCCACGGCCCTGGCCTGGTGGACCCTGCCCTGCCCCCCACAGCTCCTTACCTTCCATGGTGGGGCCTCCCTCCCCAGCTCCTCACCCCCCATGGCGGGACCTTGACAGGGCCATTCACAGGCTCAGAAAGAAGACGAGGCAGTGTGCAGGGGAGCATAGGGCCAGGGGAGAGGCAGGTGTCCCTGCCAGGTGGGGGCCCAGAGCGGGGCCACCTTGCCCAAGGTCACCCAGGAGCTCGGTGCCCACGCTGATCATGAGACAGGCAGTGGCCCACATCCCCAGCCTGCTGGCCCTTTTCACCGGGGAGATCACCTGGCTATTTATAGGGAGCGTGGAGAGTGAGGCACTGTAGAGAAGTGTCTGTCTTGGCAGCCGGAGCAGCTGGCAAGACAGGCCAGGTGTGGGACTGTGTGGGACTGCGTGACGGGGACATGTCACAGCCAGGACAGCCCAAGGAGAGTTGCCCCAGTGCAGGACGTCTGGGGGACGTCAAGGACTGGGGGAGGGGCAGGGAGACGGTGGCAGGTCCTGAGTGGCCTGGGACGCCCAGCCCAGAAGCTCGACCCCCAGGAATGTCCGGGCTTGGGACGGAGGTAGCTCTGCTGCTCTCACCGTCAGGTGCCATCGAGTCGGCGCCGGCTCACAGCCCCGTGCCCAGCGGAGCGCGGCCCTGCCGGCCCTGTGCAGCCTCACGAGCCTTGCTGTTTGACCCCTCGTCGCAGCCTGTGACCATCCGTCTCATTGACGGTCTTCCTCGCTTTTGCTGACCCTCTACTTTATCACCCATGATGCCCTTCTCCAGGGAGGTCTCTTGTGACGACGTGACCAACATGCTGGACACAAACTCACTTGCCAGAAGAATGAACCGACCTGTCTTGGAAGAGGTACGGCTAGAGTGCGCCTTAGAAGTGGCAATGACCAGACCTCACTTCTCATGCTCTGGAGGCGGCTTTCATGGGTCTCAATGTGTACTGAACGCCAGCAGGGCCCGGGCACGTAGGTCCCTTTGTCACTGGGCCGGTGCTTGAAGGAGGTGGAGTCAGACATACGAGAGGACAAAGGCATGTGTTAGCTGCAGGGACACAGGCGGGAACTCACAGGCTGGGCACATGATGTAGAGCGAGGATCCCACTCAGGGCAGATGGGCACTCCTGCCTGGGAAGAAGCTGGAGGGCTTCCTGGAAAAGGTGGCATTTGGTCTGGGGAAAGGGAAGCCAAAGGGTCAGTGGCTTGAATGTGCCAGGGAGAAAAGATCTGGTGATGTTTATACAAAGATTTACAGCCTTGGAAACCCTACAGGGCACTTCTCTGTCATGTGGGGTCACTAGGAGTTGGCACTGACATTATGGCAAACGTCGCCAATAACAAGGTGAGGAAGCAGGGTGCAGAGAAGTGAGGCTGGCATGACCCGGGCCCGGCTCTGAGCTCTGAGCGCAGCACGAAGCGGGCACCAGCTCGGGCCCTGGCCTGCGGCTGCAACCCTGCCCCGTGCGACCATGGAGCAGGCCCCAGCTGAATCCCTCCCTGTCTGAGATGCCGAACCCTGCCCCTCTCCGCCAAGCCGGGGGCAGCTGGGAGGATGGAACCGTGCAGGTGCCGTGGGTTGTATCTGTCAGCCGATGCCACACGATGGCTGCCATACGCCCTTCTCCTCCCTCCCCAACCAGACTCCCCACTGACTGAGCTGCCAGAAACGGGGAAAGCAGAGCTCCCGGAGTGGACCTGGGGCTTCCAGAGTGGGGTGCAGGGGTGAAGGGTGCAGAGAAGGGCTGGGAGACGAGGGTGGGGTGGGGAGATGCCCAGCTTAGAGCCAGGGATCCAATGAGCAGTGACATGGCACCAGGGGAGCCAGAGGACGGGGGAGGCTTAGCAGGAGGAGGGGGGCTCGAGATCTTAAAGGAGAAGCTGCAGCGTCTCACGGGGTGTGGGGGGCCAGGCGGTGGCGAGAAGGAGCCCCCCTACAGGAAAAGCCAAAGAGCTGCAGTCCCCTCTCCCTCCCCCGGCCAGAGAGGGAAGGTGGGGACAGCGGAGGTTGGAAGCTTCTGGGGCCTGGGGTGAGGCTGCAGAGACCAGGCTCTGGTGGTCTGTGTTACCAGTGTCAAGAAATTAGATTCAGGCCGGGGGCAGTGGGGAGCCATTGACGGTGTTTTATAGAATAATAACTTTTATTGATTTTTCTTCTTATTTCAAAAGTAATCCTTTTATTACATAAACTTTAGAAAACAGTTAAACAGAAGGAAGAAAATAGGAATCACTCAGAATCGCCGTCCCGAGACTCACCCCATTGGACGCTCGGCATCTGCCTCCCGCCGGCTCCCTGTCAACGCAGCAGGCTCGTCGTTTGCACGCGGCGTCAGGCGTCTCCTCATTCTCTGTGGCCCACACGTCTCATTCTTCAGGGTCTCTTCTTCTTGGTGGCGTGCAGGGTGTGTGCGGAAAACCAAAAACCAAACCCACTCCTGGGGAGTCAGTTTTGACCCTAACCCC